TATATATATATATATATATATATATATATATAGGGCCTATATATAACGTATTGTAGACTAATATGTGAAGCCAATACAAACTCTTGCATTTTGATGCAGCATTATTGCAGTATTATCGTTACAGTTATCTATAATATAGGCCTACTATAATACACAATAATTATATATTCATATATATATAATATATATATATATATATATATATATGGATAGGCCTAAAAATAAAATAATATGTTTAAAATAATATATTCATACACATACAGGGTATTATGACATGACAGTGATGTATCTGTATTCAATAAGAGAACTTCGCATACATTACATACCGGATAAACATACGTATTCTATTAATAACAATATGTTTATTATACCGTTGTTGTTGCATGCCTGTTTCGATTAGTTCTATGATGACTGCCGTACCACGCGTACGACCAGCGGACTACAATGTTGAACTACCGTAACATCCCTATCCCCCTTTACAGTTTACACACTGGTCATTCATTTAGGTATTTACAAAGTGAATACTGTACACTGTAAATGCTCCTTTTTTAACAGAATTTCTTGTTTTATCCAAAATCAAGTACAGGATACATCAATTACTGGACTGAGATAAATTAAGCTTCCCTAATATTGAAAGTTTTATAAACATAAACAAAGACTGGTGTGAAATAATTTTTATACGCCGGGGAAAATTGTGTAGTTTTCAAGATTGTCACTGAGGCTCCGAGACTGGAATGCTACATCTTCACCTCCTTTTATGCTAGGCTATTTCACGAAAAACGCAATTGTAATGAAATTTAATCACATTATGTGAGAGTACACGCATTAAATTGATTACATTATTTTTTTTTTATGATTACTTATTAATAAATTCTGCTGATGTGTATTTCGTCACATGATGGAAAACGTGGCACTTTCTACAATAACTATTATAATATATCTGGATTGACTGTTCGTAAAACTGTTACTGATCTAGGCCTATTCGGATTTGAAAACAATAGGCTATACAAAAGCCAAAAAGCCCACTGATTAATCTCAGATAAGAAAGTATAATATACTCCAAGTAGGCCTATTGAAATTCACGGCATCGTGTTGAGATTCAATTTTTCGACATTAATTACGTCATCATCAGGAATGATAGACCATACAATGCAAGAAATTCCTTGACGTGTTACAATAGACCATCTGACTTAATTTAAATAATCTGTAAGCTCACTAAACGTGAAACACTGAGGTAAATCTTGGAAAAAAAAATATGTAACATTTACTTGTCAAACTCAGGAATTATGAAAATATTATCTTCGTTTAGGCCCAGGCAAGGTGCAGGTTGTGGCAAAAGTGTTCTCATACTACATGAGACAAGAATAAATGCATACCGGTTATGTCTCGGGATAATGCAGACCCTAATATCTAGACCACCACTAATTTATTTTGATATATACAGACCTTCGATAGACTTTGCTGACTATAAATCGAAGTGACTGTGGCCTTGATTTCAAAAGACACATTTTGACATGACAAGAAAGTGACAAAACATGGAAAGCTATAGAATAGTAGAAGGCCTGCTATTTATAATTTTGAATGAAGAGAAGGTATTCGAAGCGATATTTATATTTATTATTAGTCAGGTGAGTAAAACCCGAACTGACGTTTTTAGGATTATGAATGAGACCACTTGTATCAGACTCTAAATTTCCGGTGCTGTAAGGTACAAACGTCTCTAGATTCGACCGGCTGTGTCAGTCAGACGCAGACGTGAGTGTCATAGTACTTTAAAGATTTCTGTCACTAGAAACATCATGTTATTGTCTATCAGGTCTATATGAATTCGAACTTGAGAGAGATACTGTAGTTTGATCAGGGAGGTGCTACCTCATAGGTTTTATTTATTTATTATCATTCATGTTCGCTGAATTATTACTATTACTTTCTTTAAAACACATTGAAATTGGAACACAAAATTCACAAGGACATTTAGAAAGAGGTACATACACTTTTTTTAGGAACCAGTAAAATGTTGCCCAGGCTTAAAATGTTCTTATTTTGGTTCTTATTTTACACACTTTTCAAAGTCACACCTACTGCATTAATAGGTTAGATATAATGTTATACTATTTTTAAACATTACAGTAATACTTTTCTGTTGATTTGTTGGTTTTTCTAGTTTTTTTTTTTAAATAAAAATGTCAGTTGACATTTTACCTCAGCCTCAAATTGTTCTTATTTTGTTCTTATTTTTCGAGGAATTTGAGCCTCAGTGTTCTTATAAAATGTGTACTTATACAAAAAAAGGTTTATTAGGCCAAATAACAAAATTTCCTTGTTTCCTGTCCTCTCCCTCGCCATTTTTGGGCCTGCATTATTTTTTGCTTTTGTTTTTTGTTATTTTTTAAAATGTTGGGGTTTTTTTACATTGAAAATGCAAAATTTCAATTGCTGACACATTTTATAGTTTACAATTGCATTTTTAAACACATAGACAATGATAACAACAAGAGAAGCAATGACAAAACTACTGACAAATTGTTTACAACACATTTTGCTACGCAGAGAACATTCTTTGGCATATTTTGACGAAGTGTTAAAAATAATGAATAGGCCTATCAAATATTATAATTACCTCCCTCACCAACTTTTTGAAAAACTCAGGACGGGAAACAAGGATCTTTTGTTGCTTGGCCTTAATTTTTTATCTAGGTCTACCTACCCTTGCTGATTTGATCAACCTGTGAATGAATATAGGCCATTTTTACTTCAGTTTCCTCATTTTCTTGCTAATTTATTTAAGAAGACATGAACTGAATGTATTTTGTTTATTGCTGGAAATAAAGATTTTAATATGTGTGTGTGTGTATAAGGTATGTATTTAATGAGACTTTACATCATATTATTTTTGTGTTGAACATCTGATATAAGCCTTGTCACTTTTCGATTACTAGCCACTTAAATGAACCAATTTTATTTTATCTTTTTTCGTAATAGGCCTATGGTGATTTTGAACCTACAAATTGACTATGTTACGGCGTTGGTTGATTAGCTCTCGGTATATAATAAGGCCTAAGTAAATAAGTAAATAATTTAAAATGTAGGTCTAAATGTATCATATTAGATAAGGAAGATGTCGTTTAATTTGGTGATTATGAAATGACTCCCGGGTATTAGCCATCCACTAACTATGAATCATGTATTTTGATCAACACATGACCCCTTCGGAATGTCATTACAAATAGAAAATGAATCACTAGTCGGCTAAGTTTAACATCACAGGTCACAGATAGAGAAATTACCCCCGCTGATTGTTTCCTGTGTCAGTGGGGGGAAATCCAATTCGTGGGTTGTTTCGTGCCCCTATCCTAGGATTGATCACGCATTGGGTCTTTAGTTGGCTTATTCGGCACTTTATATTCCACCGGTGAAGGCCTATCATTTAGATCATGAGCCTCCAAACTCCAGGGTGCAGGAAGCTTTATTCTTGATCGCTACAAGTTGGCTCCCAACCTAGAGGAGGATTAGGGAGGCCTGGAGGTGACACATCCCTCGGTGAATCAGAATTCACTGAAACGTTAACAAAATACGAGATACAGTACTTGTCTAGTGATACCACGTGTTATTTACTGTTAAGCCTAATACCAAATAGATAAACGTGTTTCTGGCCTTCTTATACGCTACGCCTATTATAAGTACTGATAATATTAATACAGTATAGCAATTTCGATTTTTCTTTACATTATATGGGTCGAGCTTAAAGGAAAATAAAATAAAGGAATAAAAATTTAGAAAAAGGCGTAGGTCTGCGTCTGAAATTCGTCGGTCTACGGTTGCGGATTCGCTTCGAGACGTGGCATACATTGTCAATTAGGCCCACTGCCTTCTGATATCATATCGTTATTTTTGTTAGCTTTATATGAATTATCACGAACAAACGTAATTCGCTGCCATAGAATTATGTCTGTTTCAGTTAGTTTGGAAGTAAATTTAACCGGATCCAGACAGACTATAGTGTGTAGTATCGACGTCCTAGAACAATGAAATAAGAATCTTCCGGAAAATTATACTCCGGTTCATGATAGCCAGGGTCGCGCTGTATGTGTGACAAGAGAAATAAAACGCCCGTTCCAACTCTGTTAATTCAATGAGAAGCTAATAGACTCACGGTGTAATATTATATGGATGTTTTGTTCATTTTTATACGTCTTTTGATTTGGTTCGAGACTAAATGACTGAAAAAATGCAAGAAGAACTGTAGAAGACGCAGTTATCT